CAAAAACAGACTAGACGAAGCGATGCAGGAGCATATGTTCAGTCTTAAAATGCCTAGCAAATTACGGACCAGGCAATAAGTCCAGCAGCTATCTCAATCAATCGTCAGCTATAGAAAGATCGGGTTCCAAAGGCCGGATCCCTTGTGAATCAAGTCACGAAAAGTTCAAGAATCGGCAACAGGCCATGGGCCTAACTCTTCAACGCCGACACTTCTATTCTATTCTATTATGTCATATTAATCATTAAATACTACTTTTTGTATCTAGAAACGGCATTTGTCATTGAAATTTTAGATTAAAAGCGTCTAAAATTCTTTAATAAGAGCGAAAAATGTTTAAATAACTGAACACAGAATCATGGCGTCATGTGACTCATAACGTAAACCAAGGATGTAAGCCAGCTTGTGATTGGCTGATATGCAACGTGGTTTCACTGGTTTGATAGAGCGCTCTCGGCTAAGTCGGTCGTACGAGAGTTGTGAAGGTGTCAAAAGTCGCTGATCGTACGCTAGACGTATCTTCTTGGGCTTAAGTTCAAGAAGTTATGTCCATTTCTCAATGTTTGAAAGTACCTGCCGTGATCACTACCGTGATCACTTGGTGACCACGAAAAAATGAACACACATATCAGAATTTTTTCAATTGGGATCTGAAAATAGTTTAACGCTTTATTTGGGATTGCAGGCGCGTGCCGCTCTGATCAGTTCAAGTGCCCCGAAACCTTTCGCTGCATAGACGAGGAGTTGCGGTGCGACGGAGTCTTCAACTGTGGCGACGACAGCGACGAGCGCGACTGTGAGTTGACTGATGAGTCGAGCGCTTCCGCGCAACCCTATTGTCTTTTATGTCAAGTTAATATCAGTATCTGCTTCTGCTCTTAATATTTTTTCAGTTATTTTCTTGAATATAAATGAATTATTCATCGTCTGCATTCAATAATAACGTTACACTATAGAATTATTTTCAATGTTGCGCAAGCATGCTTTGACTAAAACCGAGTTATCGAGTTTAACACCGTCTGGGGCCGAAATTTTCTTTCCCCATGAAGTTTTGGGCCCGTTGAACCCATTTTATACTGAGACTTTTCCACCAATTCTGAAGCGATGTTATAAACAACACATACAACACATTCTCACACCATATACGTTCTTCCTCGCCTCGCGTTCAGGAAACCCAATCACCCTGCATAAAATTAGTTAGTTATATTAATTAGTTAGCCCGAAATTCACGGCTTCTTTGATTTATCGCAGGCTGCACAGGTGACCACTTCGTGTGTGGCGACGGCAGATGCATCCACAAGCGTAATGAATGCGACAGCAGGAACAACTGCGGGGACTGGAGTGATGAGAAGCATTGTGAGTACACGGCTGATGTAATGAGTCAGTAAATGTGTGTCGGCACATAATGAATCGGCGTAGGTATCAAATAAATATGATGGCCATGTGTGTGTAATGATCTTGCGTGCCGAGGTTCAAATAAAATTAGCTCTAAGGAACATTTATATTAATTTATGCTGACAGAGTCGCACAAACATATGAATATTAGATTAGAGTTAACAAGTGTCACATATTGTGTCACTTGTTGACTCATGGAGGTTACGTCATTGAGTCACGTATTGTGTCTCTAATTTGGACATGGAGGTCACTTATTGCGTCATAGTGACGACGCAATCAATTAAATCAATCAATCGTAATAAATAAAACATTGAATATTCATTAATTGTATATTGAATATACATTGATCAATCCTACCCCGAGCACCCCCCGAGCACCTTCAGCTCTAGCCCGGCTAATGAATCACTCGCCTCTCCCTAATTATTCAAAGTTCATTCGATTTTCATCAGGTGCAAAAATTCCACTTACGAAAGTACTACATGTGCAGTAAACTCAGTTGGAATTGTAGAATGAGCATTAATTTAACATCAGGTAATGCAAATCCAAGACCATTACAAAGTTGTTTCAGAAACCCTGATTATAGAACATAATTGAACTGAACTTCCGTAAAAGGCAGAACATAGTAAGGAACATAGCTCAAAATACTTGTCGGTATAACAAAAGATAATTTCGTGATCTACAAAGATTTATCTCCCGTGTTCACCCCTTTTCAATTATAATAACATAGCATAAAATACATGTCGGTATAACAAAAGATTATTTCGTGATCTGCAAAGATTTATCTTCCGGCTGAGACCTTATCAATTATGGTTTTAACACAACCTACCTAATTACTTGTGATTACAGGCGTGTGCCGCTCTGATCAGTTCAAGTGCGCCTACACCGGCCTCTGCATAGACGGGGCGCGGAGATGCAACGGTCGTCGCAACGACTGCGGCGCCTACAGTGGCGACAACAGCGACGAGTACGGCTGTGCTAACTGGCGACGTGAGTAACTCTACGGACATTCTGACTGACTAACTTCCCTCCCAACTCTACTCACATTTATGCGCACTTCCGTTATTAACCTAATGTTATCCGCATATTTACACGCCGTTTTTCTCCCAATATTTGAATTTTATCATTTTACGACTTTACCTCGCGAATTGTAACTTTTACCTTATTTATTTACGAATTCAACTCGCGACAAGCTCGCCATTGTCCGATGTAACCAAACTCGGTCTCACCGTCTCGACAAACTACGTTCTAAGCGTGTTTTGCTTGCTGTTATCTGGGACCTATAACCGAATGATATGAAGTTTTATCCTAAACCTGCTTCTTTGTTTGTGCAACTGTAGTGAGTGTTGTTAAATAATATTTCAGATAGTTTGCACCTTCGATGTGGAAGATTTGAACTTATTAGTGTTAGCCCTGATGAGCCATTTATGTGAAATTTAATTATAAATCACCATTTGTTGGGTGGCATGTTATATTTGCGTTGTTCCTTATTTATGTGGGTGTCGTCTGACAGGTATTTAAATACTGTCGTCTGCTAATGTTATGTATATATATATATATATTCTGTGTTAGGAACTTGTGTTTCGATTCAACAATACACAATTTTAAATGATTAATTCCGACCATTCTATGGTCTGTAGTACCGACTACGTTGACTTCAGTTTAATTAGATGTTAGGTCTTGCTTTTTTACTGATTTGCCCTCTCGTTTCGTTTTATAGATAATCTGTTGCAAAACGTACCGTCACAATAGAATAAAAAATCTCCATCAGATGGTTTGGCAATCTTTGTCATCGGCATGCGCCGACTCGACCGCTTCGTGCTTGTGCACGACTGCAGTTTGATCGTTTGAATACAAATCAAGAATTTAAATAGAATCACTTAAAGAATATTTTTTCATGACCTTTGAATATGAACACGAGGAAGTCATATCACTAGTTTAGTTAATACTGATCAAATGACTGTTCACTGGCGTTCACAGTCACTGTCATTTGACAATTGACGCTGCCATTTGACAATGAACTGGCGTTCACTGTCATTGTCAAAGTAAGAGGGTTTAGAATGCTTCATGCACTCACAGCCTCGGTCATGAGAACTGTAGCACTGAGTAATGCATTACTGATTACAGGATAACAGAGCCTTCATACGCTCACAAGTAGGGCAACATGGGGCAGCGCTCTCTCCCCCCCCACACAAACTTTTAGCGCATTTTCTCATTTATGAAAAAATGCACTATTGTGCTCGCCATGTCCGTCTGTCTGTCTGTCCGTCCGTCCGTGACCACGTTTTCGTCGACGAGAAAATGCGCTCTCTGCGCAGTTATATTTTTTTAAATTAAATTTTTGATGAAGTTTTAATTGATACGAGGCGGTTCTTTGTTTTGTTTAAAGGTAAAACTAATGAGGAATGAATGATGTGAATTAAACGCCTATAGACTTATTAAATTTTTAATGAAACACTATTTTGTAAAAAGTGTCACAATGGGCCAATGAAGTTGATATGTAAAGATTTTCTCGGTTGAACTAACACAAACATATATACCTATTATTGGTATACCCATTGCCCCACCCCTGGGGCAATCGGCCCATGGGCTTGGGGCTAGGCGCCCACCCTTGGTCCCTTTACCACAATTGCATATTTTTCGTTTAAAAATGATAAAACAACACTTTACAGTTAAAAATAAGAAAAATGTAATAAAAACTGACGATGGAGCTGGTCTCCGAAACGTTTTATATAAAGATATGAATTTTTGTGGAATTTTCTTTGCTTTTAAATTCTTAGTTAATTTGCGATTTAAGCAAACTAGTGATATAAATTCATAAATTCAGAATAGTTATATTATGAAAATTTGTTCGATTCAGCCCTCCGGAACATTACACCTTACGCAATAGATAGTACAATTTACGATCAAAATCATATACCACGAATGTCTGGTCACGAATCTCATTTATACTCAGCTCCTCCTAATTTGTAAAAACTACATGTTACTTCGAGGAATTCATGAACTGCTACATTTTTCAACATTCATAATTTATGAATACTTCACGCAGATGAAATCAAGAGAAGATTGTGCCCCAAAGAACCCTGACGCTGTTCAACATTTTCACAATCTGGGCGCAACTGAATTACAACTGACGCAGCTGCAGGCGTACACTGAGTACGAGGTGTGCGTGTACGCTTACAACGAGGGCAGACAGAACAAGAAGTGTGAAGTGTTTGAGACCCTACCGGAGGAAGGTGAGCGAGACTGCCTCTCTTTACTGCTATAATTGAGACTCCATAGCTATAAGCTCTAAATTACTCACTAGCTGTCACAAATGAATATGACGCCGTAATAATTTACTTCATACAACTCTATTAAATATGTTATTTTTTTGTCTCTGAAAGTTATTTTGTAAGCAAAGCATATAGCAAGAGTGCGCTCAAAACTTCATGACACCTCTTCTAATTCAAACATTCCATGGTTATCATCAGTTTCTTGGCCCGTGGAGGAGTTGACCTCTTCCACGACGTCCACTTCCATCAGCCTGCGGTGGAGGAAACCTTGTCCTCCCATGGCCGCCATCAGCGGCTACCGCGTCACGGTCACTTATTACGTCCAGGCGTCTGAGTGCAGCGACAGCGCAGCCCACTTCTGCCACACCATCAAGGAACTACAACCTGAACGCACGTACAACATTGAGGTCAGGCTCAGTGTAAGGAACTGCGTACTAGGAAAAAGGCGACAGAGCATCACTGTGATACTGCGCCGGGGCAATGGGATAGTAAATGAAAAATCATAAAAATATTTAAATGGACCTGAAATTACTAAATACCAATAAGGGCAGTTTTCGCCATTACATTTCAATCGCTCGAGGAAAAAGGTTTTTGTGACTGTTTCTTTTTCTGCTGATTGTCTTGTAATTATTGCTTACGAGGAAAGATATTCAAGCTCCCCCAGGATATTCATATAAATTTACGTGTATATGTAGTAAAGGAATTACGCACAAGAGCATACTGGCCACAATCTGTCCGCCCAATTTACCCGACTTGTTGCACTTCCAATCCAGCACCGTTACCGAGCTAATCAGCATGAATTAACCAGAGTATGCATTACTTGAGATACTTCCACCGCATGATTCATTCAAAAATTTTAAATAATTTTCAGTGCAAATGTGCTCGTCCTTATTGATCAACAAAAATGTATGACTAGCATTATAAGTTTCATAACACATTTATTAAAGCTCTGCAGAGAGCATATCGCAATCGATGTATCCATTTTGACTAGTTTTCGAGAATTTTAAAGCGAATAAAATAGCCCAAAAGTTCAGCGTTTCTGCAATGAGCAGAAGTTTCAGAAACCAGCTTCATCGGCAGTTCTAAGTCAAGTTTTGCCCAGGATACCTTTCATTTAGTCATCAATGCATCTTTTATCAATGCATTAAAAATGCATCTTTTAATACTACTAAATCAGTGTATTTGAAATCTGTTGAATTATCTCTAGCAGTTTGAAGTGTAAAGATGATATAACGTGGTCTTTTTGTTCCTGATTTTGGTTTCAAAGTCCAACGTTTATTCTAATTCAAAGTCCAACAATTATGTATTCTAATTGTCGATTGATATATGCAATCGATGATCGAATTTTATTTGGTTTATGGCGATACAATGTAACCTTATATTCATCGGAAAGTTTTTAAGCTGACAATCTTCAAATTAATCGTTTGAAAGTAATCTCCACACCGAGAACTTTTTCTTGATTATTCGGATCTTATCACTTGCCTCAGACGGGGTATAAAGCATCGTCATCTCTCCTCGAGGTTAAGTTGTCATTGATTCTATGAATTAATTTGTCATGATTTTCACTTAATATAAAAAAAATGTTCGGGTGAAATTTTGGCACTGAATTGAACATCAGCGGCTCCTAAACAATCGCTACTTTCATCAATTCGGGCATCAAGTTTTTTTTCTCAGCACCCATCGAGACTTTAAAAGAACATCATATTTTCTCTGCGGCTTTGCTGATACGTTGTCAACCTTATACAGTTGTTGCAGTACCAGTATAACTACAGCCCTCAATTTCCGCGTTTCTTATTCTAATCTATAAGATACTCGGTCGAATAAATTCACCATTCTGTTATTATTTATATTTATATGTCATCTTCGGAATTTCATCATCATCAATTACAACAATCCTCTTTCGTTTGATGTACAGACTACTTTGAGATGGTAGTGGAAACTGATATTGATTCTGATTGATAATCTTGCTGTTATTATAAGTTCACCATTTAAATCAGTTTCTATTTGAGGCCTATAATCATGAGTTTCTTTTTTTCAGTTGGTTTATCAATTTGAACAGTTCCGTTCCATTCTGTGCTCTCTATTTTAATAATTAATTTTGCTAAAAATAATCTACATTTCTTGATCATAAGTGCAATCTAACTGTTTTTTTATTCATCTCGGCTATTTAAAATAATTCTATTTTCAACTGCAAACTGATTAGGAGATTAAGTATAAAGTTGAAGTTTATCTACGGACAGATAAACTGGTTGGCTAGAATACTGTATATTTTTATGCCACGGGAGGACGTTAAGGAAAAAGTATTCAATTATTGTATAAATATATCATCATTACGCTGTATCCATTTCCTAACAGCATTGAACAAGTTTAACATTATATTCACTATATTCGTACTTGCATGTACTCCCTCACCTTCCAAGATTCCGGCGCCAAACCCAAACAGAATATGCAAGCTGTTGTGTTTGTTCAAATTCACTTTTAATTGAGGATAGTGAGTAGCTACAGCATATTTGATCTTATTGGTATTTGCCTTAATATCAGTCAATTCCTCGAGTATATTTTAATGTACTTATTTATGCACTCCACCTCGTAACATCCGGTCGGGATTGTTATTACGCTTATATCGCTCAAAAATTCCAAATGAAATTTATTATTTGGTTCATCAATATTTGGGGTAGAATGATACATATACAGTCCCTTCCAATGAGAGTTCATGAAATTCATTTTACCCCATTTTATTGCAGTTGTAAAGTGTGTATAAATGGCACTCATTCTGCCGCTAATAACTTTGCTTTGTGATTCAATTTTTCAACACAAATTGTTGACGTTTAACATCATGATCACTTAATGAATTTCGTTTATGAAGTTCATGTGGGAGTACTTGCAATTCGTCAGACTCCTGTGTTTCCAACATGCAGAGAGCCGAATAATAAATGATATCCTGCGAAAATATCATTAGCGGTAGAAGGTACAACAATTATTCCTTACATGATAATGAAAGTTTTGAACCAGATTTTGAAATACCTGTCCTTGGTCCTGAGGTGTGATCCCCTATTTGAAGGACTTACAGATCTAATTATAGCAATTTCATGACAATATTTTCCCTTCTACGTTGCTTTATTCAGTAGATTGATGAATTTGTAGTATTTAAGTCCTCTGTTTTTTTCTTTGTCCCACCCGACCGGAAATGAGCCTCAGTCTGTGTCATAATTCGCAGGTAATTTCTGACATCTTTTTCTTCACAGTTTTCAGGGCTTTGTTTTGCTAGTAGCTCCCATAACCGAACAGCTCCGTTAAGAACATCATCCCCATTCATCAATCATTAATTTGAATGTCTACGATTTTATCTCACACTTTATCATTCTCTCCTTCAAATTTTATGCCGTACGTTTTATCGTACACAGATCCAGGTTTGATTGCATGACTTTAAAATGTCGTGGCTACAGGACCAGCAATATTTTTAGAGTCTGGAGAACCTGTAGCCAATCTTCATGCATGATTGATTGTTTACATCTAACTACGAGCATCTTTATGAGCGAACCTTAATTGTTTAGTTTCTTCAACCGTTTTGGTAAGAGGTTCAATTAAAAGCTCTACACTTATTTAACATCTTCGTATGAATCTCGTTCCATGCATGTTTCTGTAGCGTTTTTTAAATCTTTTTTGTTTTTTTGTTAATCATGTCATTTTATTGAAATAAAATAACTTAAATAACTAGATTTTAGCATGTGTTTGTGCTCAACTGCTGCGTATTCAACTTGATGTGAGTTCATCTTGATGTGTGTTCAACTTTATGTTTTCAAATCGATATGAGTTCAACTCGATACGAGTTCAACTCAATATGAGTTCAACTCGATAAACATGACTGCTGTATTTTGGAATTCATCAACCAAATCTCAATTTTTTTCTGCAACGATTTTTGCCTCAGGGAATGAATTCGTATATATTTTCCTTTTGAATTAGTATCTTATGTGGTCCTTTTAAATTGGTATCATATGTTCAGTTGTGGTAATACAAACGTCTCGTGACTCGCAGGTACAAAGCTGCACCGCTGATGACAACCGCGCATGTTCTGCTGCTATGGCGACAGCCGTCACGACAGAACCAGCAGGTCAGAGACATCGCGGACTACACCAATCTTTATCTCTTCTTTTGGGGTGATTTCCTTTAATTTTTTAGTATCTCTAGTTCTAATTTAATTTCCTACATAAGTTTAGCACTCAGGCTAAACTTATTTTTAATAAACTCAGGCTAGAAGCATTTTCTAATATTTAAGTTTTTTGCAGCTTATTATTCGTGATAATAATATGAATAGAAAGATTAAAATAATAAATGAATGAATAAAAGATCAGCAACCTATCAAGGACACTTATTTTAACATTGACTTTGCATAATCGCGCTCTGATTAATCGGGTGTAGTCTGAGTTTATTAACGGTTAGTGTAGTTTGCAGGGTCCCACAGTTAGCACGTAGAACCGGGATGCAGATAAACGTAGCTTGGAGGGTTAATCCGACGCAGAAATGATCCCGACGCTCTCGGTAAACTCGTTTGAGCAACTTATGATGCACCTCTGAAGAGTTAAATGCATCCTTGCATTATTACCATTCTAATGAATAACCTTATGAACGCATAACTGGCACCATACCACGCTTAATTTTGTATTTTGCTTACGTGAGTAAAATGCTGCTAATGAACCTCTTTGCTCCATTATTTGAGAATCATTGATAATTTCGTCTTACCAAAAAATTAAGAAGTATCATTCCACTTTCTGAGTACGACTATGATGACGAATAGCAATTCGTTCCATTCTAAATTCCTTTTTACTATTGCAGTATCCTGCACCGCAGAGGAGCTGCAGTGCGGCGCCCTTTGCCTCCCACTCTCCGCGCGGTGCAATGGCGCCTCAGAGCGCGACGACGGAGAGGACGAACCGCCGTCGCAGACCGCGGTCGTGCCAGCTGTACTAGTGCCAGGTGCAGCGGTGCCAGCTGCAGTGGTGCCAGGTACAGCGGTGCCGGGTGCAGCGGTGCCAGCTGTACTAGTGCCAGGTGCAGCGGTGCCAGCTGCAGTGGTGCCAGGTACAGCGGTGCCGGGTGCAGCGGTGCCAGCTGTACTAGTGCAGAGGAGCGCGGCGCCCTTTGCCTCCCACTCTCCGCGCGGTGCAATGGCG